TTGGCGAGATCTGAGAATGGGCTCTTCATAAATCTTCCTGTAGGCTGAAGATGTTCCCAGAATTCCTGGATTTACAAACTCAACGATGGAATAAAATTCCTGCAGGTCATTCTGCACTGGAGTACCTGTTAAATTGAGACACGAGAGGGCTGTGACTGCATTGGTCGTTTTGATGGTGCCGTTTTTAAGGTGATGACCCTCATCACAGATAAGCACTCCAAAATCCAGCTCTTACAGTTGGTCAACAGAGTGCAACAGCATCTCGTAACTGATCACCATGACAGAGCAACGAGGAGAAGACACAAAGTCCTCCACACGGTGATCCTACAGAGACAACACAGACATTTAACTTTCTCTTAGTAACCAATCCATCTATTATCTGACACAAACAGCCACGCAAACACACCTGGTCCACGGTGTAAACACTGATCCTCTCCCTGCCCAGCCACTTGTTGAACTCAGCAGCCCAATTCTTGACCAAACTTCCTGGGCAAACCACAAGTGCCCTCTTCAGTAAAGGCCGTCCACCATAGGGACCCTGCCTCAGTAGTGTCCAAAGAACACAAACACACTGTAGCGTCTTTCCCAGTCCCATCTCATCTGCCAGAATAGCCCTACAGCGGCCAGGCAGTCTGCAGCACACAAACATACATGGGCAAAAACATGCATAAACAACGAAGTGCATATGTAAGAACATTAGATTAACAGATGAACTCTTATTTACCTCATTCCCATTAAGCAATCGTAAAGGAAGACCATGCCCTCTCTCTGATGTGGTCGAAGATGACTGGTCAAGTGGGGGTCAATGACCACATCCACCAGTGGAGAACCAGATTTATTATACAGCCACTGGTGATCGGTTGTTGGACGCGGCATCACAAGGGCACCTTGGGACAAATAGAAAGTAAGCATTATGGATATGGATAGCTTGGATTAAAATGTAATAACTAGATTGAAAAGTTTGTAGACAAACTTTAAGTTGGCTTGAAACAGCCTAGCTAGAAAGTTTGAAAAAGTTTGCTTGCAGTCTTAAAGTTTTCAGTTTGAAGTAGTTTGAAAGTTAAAATAGTTTTAAAGATTAAAGTTTGAATGTTTTCAAGGCAATACAGTCTATCAGAAAAACATATTGCTAGGGTACCTGGGGTGGTTGCTAGGCTGTTTCTAGCATGACTAGCATGTTGCTAACATGTTTTTAGCATGATTAGCATGTTACTAGCATGCTGATAGCATAATTAGCAAGTTACTAGCATGTTGTTTGCATGATTAGCAAGTTACTAGCATTTTAGCATGATTAGCAAGTTACTAGCATGGTGTTAGCATTTTGTTAGCATGATTAACAAGTTACTAGCATGTTGTTAGCCTGTTTCTAGCATGATTAGCAAGTTACTAGCATGTCGTTAACATGTTTCTATGATAATCCCGTTAAAACCAGCTAAAACCAGCCTGACCTGCTAAAAAAGTGGCCAAAACCACTTTAAAACCTGCTTGAGAGACCAGCCAAAGCAGCCAATCAGCTTAGGCTGGTTTTATCAGGGAGCAAGTTACTAGCATGGTGTTAGCATTTTGTTAGCATGATTAACAAGTTACTAGCATGTTGTTAGCCTGTTTCTAGCATGATTAGCAAGTTACTAGCATGTCGTTAACATGTTTCTATGATAATCCCGTTAAAACCAGCTAAAACCAGCCAGACCTGCTAAAAAAGTGGCCAAAACCACTTTAAAACCTGCTTGAGAGACCAGCCAAAGCAGCCAATCAGCTTAGGCTGGTTTTATCAGGGTTTTTTTTCAGTAGGGAGTTGTTAAGCTTAGCTATAGCAATAGACAGCTTAAATACACCATAAGATTCATCGTACAAAAGTTTTGACCACCTCAATAAAAGTCTATGGGATTTTAGATGGTTTTGATAGTCTGGTTTACGAAAACCGTAAGCCAGATCAGTTAGAAAAGATATAGCAACCCGAGTCAGACCAGTCTGAAGGTCTGGGCCGAGTTTGGTGGTTGTAGCTTTAAAGGTCTTGGAGGAGATACACTTAAAAAAGTTTAAATAGGATTTCAGTATTCTAATACTTTTTCAAGCCAACTTAAATTAAAATGTATATGAACACTTAAGGAATGTTTATCCTGTAATGTGACCATTTATTTGAAATTTTAACCATTTTAATCACCTATTTGTCTTCATTATTTTATTAAATGGACTTGCAGTGTGACAATTTTTTTTTAAATTTTTGGAAGTATAAATACGACATGTATCGATTACTATAAGGAAATAAAAGGACATGGATAATTAAAAAAAAAAAAGTAAAATGTATTAAGTTGAGCCTATGCTGTACCTGGTGCGTTCGGGTCATGTCTGGATTTACCGATTGGTTTGTCAGGTTCAGAATCTGTAAGTGCACCTCCCTTGAGCGCTAGTCTGGTAAAGGATTTGGAGACTGGTCGATATACAGGAGCCTTCAAGACTGTTTCTGCAGGAGACTCAACAGCAGCATCTTGAAAACAACAGCCTTTGGTGTAGTCCTGTTTGGATATGACCCCCATAACCTCAATTTGCTTCCCTTCTACCATAAGAGTCTGACCCTCACACAAGCTCTCCAGCTCTGATGCCTTTTAGCCTGAACCTACCAGAAAAACACTGATTTAAAACACACATCCACACAGACTCAAACATATTTAAAAGTGAAGTAAAGGGAGAATTGTGCGTTTCAAATAGGGATGCACCAATATTAAAATTCTTGTTATTTAATTATTTGTATAATATGGCAGATATTATGGCCAATATAAAAAAATTCAATACAATTTTCTATCAAATTAAAAGAGAAAAACTAAAATAAATCGTTTTAATGTTTTAAAAGTGAATTTAGGTACCAAAAAATTATAATATACAGTGAGAAAATTGGTATTCAGAGATTTACTAACAATTACATTTAGCAGTGTTAGTTTAAATTAGTGTTTTTTAAAAATTAACTTTAAGGCACTAGATGACAAAGAAAAAGAATTGGGGAAATGAGCAAAGCTTGCACAAATATAAAATATCAACATAAAAAAAAACTCTTATATCGGCTGATAAACAATATATTGTACATCCCTAACTTCAAATATGCATTTATATACAAATCCAGAAGTATTGGTAGAATGTGCTGTGTTAGGCAAACCTCGTCCAATGTCCCGCCCCTCCATATCTTTGAGGACAACAGTCCGCCCCCTGGCAACCAACACAGCGTCGCCTTCCCAGCACTTATGCTTCCGTGATGACGCCTTGCACCACATGACACTATAGTAGCATGCTTTAAAATAAACAAATAAAGGATCAGCAGTGATATACAACATAGCAATAGCCTAAATCGTAGACAATGTTTTACTGATTACACAGTCTCAATAAATTAGAAATGTGCTTTTATACAGCCATATGCATATATGCTAATTTTGTGCCTTGTGCTTTTGTTCTGTCAGATAAACTATATAATTAGTGGTCAGGTGAAAAATAGTGGGCTAAAGAAATAGAAATAGTGGCATAAAAACCATGAAATCAAAATCTACTTTTTTTGGAATGTTTAAGTATTTATTATAAATGACTAACTATTAACAATTAACAAACAACGATCCAATCAATTCCCAATGTACAAAATCAAGTCCTGCCATATATATTTGGCTCATCTGAGAAGCTGTTTTATTCTGACATGTCACAATAAGGGGGAAAAACAAGCAATTTTCATTTTATTCTGATTTGAAATAAATGCATAATACTGTAAATGAAGTCCACATAAACAGCTTGACTGAGAAGGTTCTCATTCATTGCTGTTGCTATGTAACACTCCCTATGTGACAAAAAGGACAGGCTCAAAACACTGAGATTAAAGGAATTATGAATTTATTAGCGAATACATACAAAATAAAATCTTATTTTCTTCTTAAACCAGGCATATTAAAAACGTTCATTCCTGCTACAAACATCAGGAACAATCCTTGTACAAATGTCCATCGAATACAAAAACAAGAAATAACCATACAAACAAGTCTGTTCCTTTTAACTTCACATTACAGAGTTCCCTTGTGATAGACTTTCAGAAGTGACACCATACGTGTCACATCAATGGCAATCCTTGGCGTAGCCTGGCCGCCCTCAATTTCTCTACTTTGACCCTTGACCGGAGTAGCTCCTCCTCCAACTGTTGCTTTCTCTTAAGCCCCTCCTTCTTCTCCTCTAGATACAGTCCAAGCTTTCTGTGATTGGCCAGAAGCAGCTCATGCTCCTCTCGCATCATCTGCAGAGCTTCTGCCTCAAAAACGGGATTCTTGAACATTGCCCTCCCCCTCTGATATGTGCTCCTCCTGGGGCCGGGTGCTGATGGCGAGGGTGGCAGGTGTATGGAAGAGGGGCATGGAGAAAGAGAGGCTGCATACACGTGGGAGGCTATTTCCTCCTCATCATCATCTTCCACTACTTCATTGTCCCTCTCGTTCTGTCCGTGATGGGCCTGACTGCTTGGGGTGGTAGAGTGAACAATTTAAGGGGGTCTGAATACTTTCCGTACCCACTGTATATAATTAGTGGTCAGGTGAAAAATAGTGGGCTAAAGAAATAGAAATAGTGGCATAAAAACCATGAAATCAAAATCTACTTTTTTGGAATGTTTAAGTATTTATTATAAATGATTAACTATTAACAATTAACAAACAACGATCCAATCAATTCCCAATGTACAAAATCAAGTCCTGCCATATATATTTGGCTCATCTGAGAAGCTGTTTTATTCTGACATGTCACAATAAGGGGGAAAAACAAGCAATTTTCATCTTATTCTGATTTGAAATAAATGCATAATACTGTAAATGAAGTCCACATAAACAGCTTGACTGAGAAGGTTCTCATTCATTGCTGTTGCTATGTAACACTCCCTATGTGACAAAAAGGACAGGCTCAAAACACTGAGATTAAAGGAATTATGAATTTATTAGCGAATACATACAAAATAAAATCTTATTTTCTTCTTAAACCAGGCATATTAAAAACGTTCATTCCTGCTACAAACATCAGGAACAATCCTTGTACAAATGTCCATCGAATACAAAAACAAGAAATAACCATACAAACAAGTCTGTTCCTTTTAACTTCACATTACAGAGTTCCCTTGTGATAGACTTTCAGAAGTGACACCATACGTGTCACATCAATGGCAATCCTTGGCGTAGCCTGGCCGCCCTCAATTTCTCTACTTTGACCCTTGACCGGAGTAGCTCCTCCTCCAACTGTTGCTTTCTCTTAAGCCCCTCCCTCTTCTCCTCTAGATACAGTCCAAGCTTTCTGTGATTGGCCAGAAGCAGCTCATGCTCCTCTCGCATCATCTGCAGAGCTTCTGCCTCAAAAACGGGATTCTTGAACATTGCCCTCCCCCTCTGATATGTGCTCCTCCTGGGGCCGGGTGCTGATGGCGAGGGTGGCAGGTGTATGGAAGAGGGGCATGGAGAAAGAGAGGCTGCATACACGTGGGAGGCTATTTCCTCCTCATCATCATCTTCCACTACTTCATTGTCCCTCTCGTTCTGTCCGTGATGGGCCTGACTGCTTGGGGTGGTGATGGTGACAGGTGAACTGTGGGATGCGATCAGGTGAATATCAGGAGGTGGTTTCACATCCTCAGTCTCCACCCTCACAGCCGCAACAGGCAGATAGTCTGACAACGCTGGGAGGGACAAACTGCTGCCTGGCTGCTCTACAGGAGAATTCCTCTTGAACTGAAGCCTAGCACAGACACATACACATACACACATGATTCAGAAAAAAAGCATAACACTGAATTTTGAACCTAATTAATAAAAAAAAAACAAGAGCTTTGAATGCTCATTTGTATGTCTCAGGATATATTCTCAGTTTTGAACCAATAAAAATGCTGAATCTGATTCAACTAGCTAATTCAAATGAATCAAATCATGTTCACCCACAGCTCTCGACTGGATTTGTGGTGATAACTGACAAAAAGAAAGACCTGTTGACAAAAAGAAAGACATGGAGATGCTAGTGGAAAGTAACTCCTCTGGCACATGGTGGCAAACCTGGCATTAACGCTGCATCGGAAATACGGTTAATGACATCCAAATCCCCTCAGTGCAGCTTACCTCTGGCACAGGACAGAGTGAAAGGACAGCGAGTGTGTGACTGCAACGTGTGCGTTGACTGTATATGACATATTAAAAATAGTGAAGGAAATGTTTACATGTTAAAATGCTGAACTCTAATTGGCTGAGTGCGACAATTAACAGCAGCCGAAGGAAAAATCTGGGAAGATGTATGTGAAGATATTAACAGAAGCTGAATCAATATTTAAAAGCCAATATCATCTTCTCAGAGTGGCCAATTAGGCCTCCTGAGAGTACGGTGGCAGGTGTATGGAAGAGGGGCATGGAGAAAGAGAGGCTGCATACACGTGGGAGGCTATTTCCTCCTCGTCATCATCTTCCACTACTTCATTGTCCCTCTCGTTCTGTCCGTGATGGGCCTGACTGCTTGGGGTGGCGATGGTGACAGGTGAACTGTGGGATGCGATCAGGTGAATATCAGGAGGTGGTTTCACATCCTCAGTCTCCACCCTCACAGCCGCAACAGGCAGATAGTCTGACAACGCTGGGAGGGACAAACTGCTGCCTGGCTGCTCTACAGGAGAATTCCTCTTGAACTGAAGCCTAGCACAGACACATACACATACACACATGATTCAGAAAAAAATCATAACACTGAATTTTGAACCTAATTAATAAAAATAAAAAACAAGAGCTTTGAATGCTCATTTGTATGTCTCAGGATATATTCTCAGTTTTGAACCAATAAAAATGCTGAATCTGATTCAACTAGCTAATTCAAATGAATCAAATCATGTTCATCCACAGCTCTCGACTGGATTTGTGGTGATAACTGACAAAAATAAAGACCTGTTGACAAAAAGAAAGACATGGAGATGCTAGTGGAAAGTAACTCCTCTGGCACATGGTGGCAAACCTGGCATTAACGCTGCATCGGAAATACGGTTAATGACATCCAAATCCCCTCAGTGCAGCTTACCTCTGGCACAGGACAGAGTGAAAGGACAGCGAGTGTGTGACTGCAATGTGTGCGTTGACTGCATATGACATATTAAAAATAGTGAAGGAAATGTTTACATGTTAAAATGCTGAACTCTAATTGGCTGAGTGCGACAATTAACAGCAGCCGAAGGAAAAATCTGGGAAGATGTATGTGAAGATATTAACAGAAGCTGAATCAATATTTAAAAGCCAATATCATCTTTTCAGAGTGACCAATTAGGCCTCCTGAGAGTACGTGTTTATGTATTTACTTGGTATTGGTTTCATTTTTCCATTGGGTGATAGATATGTTTTTGATTTATGGATGCACCTAATAACGTGCCAGTTTTGTTTTTGTGTGTCATGCAAGTATCTGTGCGCTCAGTCTCACCTGTGGAGTGCGCTTGGCTCTTTGTTCCCCACGTGAAACAGTTGTGGTATCATTTCCATGATGCGCTTGGTTGGCTCCGAGATGCTGCCCCGGTACTCGGGTTGGGCATGGCTTCGCTGAAGAACTTCCTGCTTGGCACTTTCTTTAAGTCGCTTATAGAGGGTCCGGAGGCCCTGAGCCGTTCTGGGGGGCCTCTCGCCTCCGAAACTATTATAGCGTTCTGCTATGTTGTCCCAGCACCGGTTCTTATCTACGATCACGGCGTGCTTGTTGGTGTGCTCCTCTAGAATGCGTATGTGAGGCTGGACCAGCCGCAGAAGATCCAGTTTCTCAGATAGGGTGAAGTTGGATGAGCGGGCCTTGCCGACCATGCTGTTTGACATGAATAAGGTAGACATCCTGCCTTTAGGCTGGTCTCAGTGCTCTAGGTTTGATCTCCGAGTCCTTCTCCTCTGTTCCCTGTGCTGTGTCTGTCTTTCTCTACTCACTTGTGTGAGCAGGCTGCTGCACTGCTTGTCTCGGTTAAGCAACACACACACATGCACAAACTGGCACTCAAGCACACAGACGTAAGAAAAAGAATCAGGCTTAACTAGGCCAGCCTCGATTAGGCCCACGCCTACCCAGGGAGGGCTTTGCTGGAATTCCTTTTAGCTTAAGCTGACGCAGGTTCAGTAAAGCTGCTTAAGCCTGGCCTGACCTACATAACAAGCCCGACTTCATTAGACTAGAAACACAGCAGAGCTCTTTTCTTCCGCTGCAAACAGCGACAAGTATTGCATTTTTAGCGGGAAACGACTGAAAGCGTGTTTTTGAACGTGTTGTTAGATTTGAAGCGCGTCAAGTCCGAGTTGTGACAGCAGAGAGCGAGTCCGCGCGAGTGCTGAACAGCGAGAGGAAACATTAAACTGACGCTTAACGAGTTCGCGCCAGAACAACTCCAGCATTATGTGCGTGCGTACAGACAGTGTTTTGTGTGAGAGAGAACTGCTTTTCGGACACCAGTTGCTATACATTTCCCAGGCTGACTGACAAATGCACCACAGCTCATACTCATATAATATGCAGCAGGACACCTCTGCCTTGAATCTGTGCGGCGCGCGGCACGAATACCATCAGGCATGTAGCGCCTGTCAATCAAGCGGTCCGTGAGCTCGGATTGGTTAGTTTCACTCAAAGCCGAAGTTAAAGGAGGGGAATAGAGATGCCGTTTGTTCAGCCTGGCTGCTCTCTGAACCCTTTGCTGTTTTTCTCTACTAGTTTTACTCACACATTTAAAACTTAGTGAGCAAGTGTATTTCCTCTTTCTTAATCACAGTTTTTGTACACTACATCCTAGCAGCTTGTGCGACATTATAAAATATCAACGTGATAAGGTTCGCAAGACCATGCAAAACAGACGCATTATTCAAACAAACAAACAAAATAAATAAATAAGTAACTAAATTATAAAAATTATCTTTAGATTTAACTAAAAATCCGAGACAATTATCTTTGGATGAATTTCTGACTAGTCAGTCATGGCATTCAGCGGTACCGTCGCCCATGGCAACGTATATTATACTGCTAATCAAAATTAATTTTTCTTACATGCTGTGCTTTTGTTCTCTCTGTATCTCTACAAAAAGGCTGAATAGTAAACTAATTAAAACATAAATCAGTATTTAATTTCCATGTATTTATTTATTTGGGGAGTAGCGGTGTAATAAAGGGAACAATGCAGTCATTATTGCAAAATAACACCGGTTAGGGGTAATACAAGTCTGGGGTTTGTTTTGCGATAATGACCATCAGATCAATTAAGCTCTTTGGATTATGTTTCAATAACAGAAGCCATTTAGAGACAGATTTTAAAACCTACTGTTGAAATACCAGTTTCCAAACCCAATGGTTACAAGGAGATAATAAATTAAAAACATAAAAACAGACCATTTAAGGTGAGTTGTAACTACAGAACACCTTTTCAGCAATGTGTTTATATTGTTGAGTGGCACAGGTTTATCAAAAATAAAAATCTACATGTAAAAAAATCTATTTAAAAAAAATGTCCTCCTTCGAGCCCAAGTTTAAAATATGGTTACAAGTAATGCATTACACAGATATTACAATTTCGTTACCAAAGGAAACTTTATACACTAACCAGACTGAAAATCTGTTTCACATTTATTAAACAAGAGATAAAAACAAGTGATGTTTCAATCACCTTTCAATCATAACACACACACACAAAATATGACAGTGCTGTATCTTACCAGTAGCTGAGCAGTTGGCATGTGTGTTTGGCTGTGATGAGCAGCTGTCTTTATCTGCTAGTTGTTTAGGTTCAGGAAAGCCAGGTGAAGACCTGAAGCTGTTTTCTTTACATTCACCATGAGGAACAGCACTCAGGACCCTGGCCAAAGCTTTACTGCCCACTGGAGCATTAGACACAGCTGGAGCATCTGCACTACTCAAACACCTCTGGACCCGCAGGGAGAAATAACTTTTGAAACAACATCCGCAAGGGAAAACAAACATTGTGTGTCTGTTTTTTTGTCAGACAAAACCAAACAATAACTGCCTTATTATCATGATACAGATGAAGACACGTGTTTAAATAGATAATATGAATATTAAGATGTTATCAGTCACATATAAATTATGTACATGATCACAAACATTGGATAACATTTGTCAACATGAGCACTTTTTAATTATTCTCTTGTTTTTGACCTTATCGAGCAACATATTTCTCAAAGCAGGTGTGGGTGGTGGTGGTGACGGCACTGATGGTTCTGGTTGGGGACCAGATGAAGGTGGTCCATCATTCCTCGCCGGCCCTGGTGGCATAAACCTGGGTTTCTTAGCAGCATTTCCACAAAGCTGACTCGGAGCTCCAGATCTGCGCATCATGTCAATAAAGACACAAGTTAAATACCACACAGTAAGAAAACCATGACGCAGATCTTACTGCATTTATTGCCCCAATAGCTTGTTATCAATGATTGTGAGATACTTTCAAATTTCAGCATAACTGATAGAACCCCAGAAATTATTTATTAAATGTATTCATTTGTGTCATATGTGCATTACACACTTTTAGAGGCCTAACTATACATTAAATATAAATAAACAAAAATGTGTCATTTCATTCTTTCATTCATTATAAAATACCACTGATCACAACTAAACTTATATATACATACACTCTTTGTTGTCATATGAACAGCCAGTCAATATCACTGATTTAAGTCTCACCAGCCTTAATAATACATTAACGGTTCTTAATAAATAAATAGCGATAATAAATTGCGGTTCGTCGGTGACTGTTATTGATTCACCAAATCGGAACCGACTCATAAAAGTCATTCGGTCAGTAATCGGACTACACTGGTCTGGCTGTATATGCGTAAATTCATTAAAAAGAACCTGCTCATATGGGATTGGGAAGACAGGAATGCGATAAACAATGACATACATTTTATGTTGGGTAAACTATCTATCTACGCAAAGGACATATAACAAGCATCAGTCGCTGTCTTTAGCTAAACCATGGTAAACAAAAGTAAGCCTCGTTGGCCTCCTCTAATTCTCCTATAACTTTTCAAATGTACTCGGATTTAATATACTCCAAGAAGACAGATAATACGTTAAATGCTTACCTTTTATTATGTTTCTTCCGGGTACGTCAATCACTCAATCCTATTTTCAAAAACTCCACCGAAAAACATCAAGCTCGTGTCTCCATTAAAAAGAACCTGCTCATATGGGATTGGGAAGACAGGAATGCGATAAACAATGACATACATTTTATGTTGGGTAAACTATCTATCTACGCAAAGGACATATAACAAGCATCAGTCGCTGTCTTTAGCTAAACCATGGTAAACAAAAGTAAGCCTCGTTGACCTCCTCTAATTCTCCTATAACTTTTCAAATGTACTCGGATTTAATATACTCCAAGAAGACAGATAATACGTTAAATGCTTACCTTTTATTATGTTTCTTCCGGGTACGTCAATCACTCAATCCTATTTTCAAAAACTCCACCGAAAAACATCAAGCGCGTGTCTCCGCGGAAGTGACGTATCTTCACCGCTATTGGTCGAAACGCTACGTCACGCAAAGGGGGCGGGGTGGAGGAGTTTACGAGCAGCAGAAATCAACAGTAACCTTTAGAGAGGAGTGGCAAAGAAACCTGACAGTAAATGTTGACTGCTAAAATTGTATCTAATCCAGCAGAAGTAAATGAAGCAAACTCAGGAGACGTCTCAAAATTCTGATCCCTGTCAGCCATCACTTATCAAACAGGCAAGTTCTATGTACAACCTACACATTACTAACCCTTTTAATATTCAACAGATATGACCCAACAGCTTTTGTACACAAGTATAGCTTTGACATCAAACCATTTATTGATTCGTATGTCTTTTATTTATTTCAAAATTAAATCAGACAATTACTATCCTTCATGCTTCAGATTGATATGAATCAAGTAGAGATGGGTTGTTAATGAACTATTTATGGTCAAGCAGTACACTCTCATTTGTTAATGTTTTCTGCTTTTCATTAGTACTGTACAGGTTTCCCACAGCCAGTGAAACCTAGATATGTCAGTAAATTGTTAGTCCTGGAAAAGACAGTATGAAATAAATCTTATAAAGTCATAGATGTTTCTATAACCAAGATACATTTTTAGTTATCCTCAGCTACAGAATATTTAATTCGCTGGTAATTGTTCTTTGCAAGTATGATTTCTGTAAAATTTATATTCAATATATATCAGTGTGTGGCAATTTGAGCAATTTGTAAAATACAGTGCTTGACTGTGATGGTATTTCATTTTTATTTCATTATCACATGGAACTTCAGTAACTGTTTTAACTCTTGCATGTGCACAGATGCATGTCTGGTCGTGTTGTGCCAGTGTTTTATATACTGCTGCATGTCTGAAAGTGAAGCTGCAATGTTGCAGGGTGGAAAATAATCCAATCCGAGTGTGGGAAAGCGTAATCCGGTCTAATCCCAGCACAGCCATGAAGAACAGAGATCATTCAGGCAGTAAGAGTGTCCAGACACAGACACACCAGCACAGACAAACATCCTCCCCTTCAGAAAGATGTTCACAATTACACAATATTTCCTCAACTGTGAATCTGCAACAAATGACAATAAAGGTTTAGCTGGAGTGCCACAGTATAGAAAAGTGTTAGTATAGAATTAAATGCACACGCCACACATTGACACTCTAGAGGAAATCAGTTGGTTTTACTCTCACATGGCCAGACAGGTGCAGGAACACTTGCACAGGTCACCTGTTACTTTTAAGGGGTTGTTTTTGAGGATGTCATCTTGCGTTTATTCTAGAGATTGACTGATAATCGGTTTTACCAATATGGTTTTTCAGTATTAATCATTATCTACGTACTTGCAGCTCTGTGAAAATTAATTTATTATCTCATGCGGGTAATTGCGATACTGTCTCCATTTGACAACACTTTGTAAATATTGTTACAAGTGTTGCTGATATAAAAATGAAAAAAGCTATGTTTTTATTGTTGGGAAATGAGGATGCAATATAATAAAACCAGAAGTAAAACATTAAATAAATATAAATTTTGCATATCAGTTATAGGAGATAGAAACAAATAATCGGTATCAGTTATTAAAAAATCTATATAGGTCGATCTCTAATTTATTCTCAAACAGGCATCTTAAATATGAGTTTTGTATTTCTGAACTCTCTATGTTCAATTTGACCATAGAACCACCAAAAATATTTCCTTTTGCATGTAGAGTTTGTGTAGGATATTTGTATAGTGTGTGTGTATCGTGTATTTGTGTGTGGGGTTGCCAGGTGCTTCAGTCTCATTTGTTCACAGCATGAAGAAGAGTTTCCCAGAGGGTTTCCCTAAGAGATTTCAGCAGGTGTGTGTTGTGTTCTTGCAAATTAGTTACACATTACATTGTCTGTGGTACAGGTTAGAGTTGCATTGAAAAGGTGCCTCATAAACTGCGTGCCATACAATTCATGCTTGTTAAAGAGTCTATTTCCTAAGATTTAGTACAAATGAAGATGGCAAACTGACCCCATATCCCCAGAGAATTTCTACACTCGTAACCCCACCCACTCATGTTTCAGTCCAACAGCTGCCACCTGGCTGTTTCTACGGCAACTGACCAGACCACCTTCAGCAAGCACACCTGAGAGAAGGAGAGCGGGGGAGATAAGATACTACAGACTCTGTCAGGTAGTTCATTTTTTTATATATATTTATAGAATATATATTTATAATATATATATATATGTAAAATATATTTAAAGAAATGTTCTGAATATATTTTTAATATACATTATGCTGTTAAGCTTAAATAACCTAGTGTACACATGCAGTGGCCTTAAATATTTGAAACCTTATTTGCATGATTTTTTTTATCATAAAATAAATATTATTGTTAACTTTCAGTGTTTTTTATTTGAACCTATTTAGAAAAGGTCTACTTAATGTAAATTTGTTATTACATTTCTGTACTAAAAGTTTAAGACCTTTAAGACCTTTGCTTGAAAATAAAGTATTTTTGTTAAATTTCTCTTTTTAAAAGTTTAAGACATTCATTTTAAAAATACTAATGTACAAAATATGTAATCGTAGTTTTTCTTTTTGTATAGTTTGAGCTTTAAATTTAAATTAAATTTAGTATTGGTTTTAATTATAATAATGTGACTTGCTATGACCATGATGCAGCTTTAATTTATTTAGGTAATATATTTTTGGAATATATATTAAATTATATTTTAGGAAATGTTCTATATATTTTTATTATAAGTTATGCTTTTAAGCATACATTAATAGCCTGTAGGTTTTAGTGTGCACAAATAGTGGACATAAATACATTTTTTTTTTACTTAAAATAATTATTATTGTTACATTTCAAGTTTTAAAGTTTAACACAAAAATCTATTAATTTTTTTATTCATTTATAAGTTTTTTGCTAAATGTCTGTTTTTAAATGTTTTAAAGATTTATTTAGAAAGTATTAATAATACATAAAATTACATAAAATATGTAATCTTTGTATTTTTTTGTTGTTGTATCCACCCATTCATTCTCCATTCCTCTTATCCTCTGCAGGATAGGTGTATTGTTGGATTTTAAAATTAAATTAAATTAAACTAGCTATTTTCCCCATTACATTAATGTAACATGTTATAACCATGGGACAACGTTTTAGTTATTATATGTTTTTAGGTACTTTACATCAGTTTGTTTTCGGTGTGTGTGTCCTCTAGGATGGGCTACGATCTAGAACGTTTTGTAGGCTATGTGAACGAGGGTCTGCTGTGCTGTGTGTGTCAGGACGTGTTAGAAGATCCTTTGCAGGCTCCGTGTGAACATGCCTTCTGCAGCTCCTGCATTCATGGATGGCTCATCCACCATAACAACTGTCCAGAGGACCGCATGCCTTTAGACATCACACATCTACGCCCACTATTCAGGTAACAGATGTATTAAGCATCTGTATTTGCGCAAAATCACTTAAGATAACTTTGTCGTTAATGGCACTGATTTTATTGACTCATCAATACATGTTTTGTGTGTTACAGATACATGAGGAATGATTTAGCAAGGCTGCAGGTGAGGTGTGTGTTTCGGCCACAAGGTTGTGAGGTCATATGTGCTCTGGAGTCTGTTCATCGGCATGAGGAACAGTGTGATTACGCTTTGCTGAACTGCAGTAATGCAGGTACATATATACAAGCAGATATATATATACATATATAGCTATATCTTGGTACTTATATTGGTGGCTTATACACAGCAGCTACAGTCTCATTCACACATATACAATACAAGTGCTGTAACAGCAGATGAATGAGTGTTGTAAAGATAAAGCATCTAGCATTGAGTGATCACATCTTTAATTGTTAATGAGGGACCCCCACAGGCAGCCAATGAGGTGAGACGTTTACCTCAGGGTTAAAACAATTGATCTGTTCAGGCAGAAAGCTAACAGAAGCAGATTCTTGCACATAATACATATGCATTAGTTTCAATAAGCTTAATGCAACATTCCCTAATCCTCGAAATCTTTGTTTGTGTGTGTATGTATATATATAAATATGCAGGTGACGAGTACTTATGTTATCGATGTGGTAGGTGTCCTGCGTTTTATGCGTGTTGTGCAACCGCTGTGTGTCTTTTTCTTCAACAATAAACCTTCTACTTGCTGTGCCAATATTTTCACTGGCTGCTCAAATATTATACATTTAAAATGTTTATTCATGTATAATTTTATATTTAGATTTATGTTTTTAAATGTAGTTTTAATCATTAATAATAATTGTATTTATTATTTTAAAATTATTATTTTATTATATTTTGCACCAAATGTTACGTTTTCCTCACAAATAAATTAATACTTTTGCCGTAAAGTGTTGACATATAAGGCAAAACATTACTGATTGATTTGTACTTTTCGACCCATTCTTACTGATGCTGCCAAGACTATCACAAATCATTCTCGCATTTTCAACAAATCCTCATCCTCAACTAGATCATTTTACCTGGGGCTGTCAACCCTGCCTCTTAAGATGCTTTCTCAACTATTTTTCTCTGCTTTTTGTGTATGAACATTTGCTGTGTGCCAGGGTTTCCTCTATTTTTGTTGTTTAATGTTCAGTTTCCTTTGTGGTGGCATTCAGGCTGCCCGGTTCAGGTGTCGAGACGCTCTCTGGAAGCTCATCTGTGTGTGTGTGAATACAGCAGTAGAGTTTGCGCAAGCGGATGTGGATACACAATCATAAACACAGAGGAGGCCCAACACAGCTGTGTATCGGAGTTACGAGCTGAGCTGGACATGCTCAGGTAGAAAGATCTGCTCAAGTCATACGGACTGTGATCATGTAAATGTTTTTAAAATGCCTTTGCGTGTTTGTTATAGGGCAGAATTAGACTGCAAAGTTGAAGAGGTAAGGCATGAAATGGAATCTCGCTTGGATTCCCAAAGACGACACATGGTGCAGAAGGAGAGTCTGCTGAGGAGTGAAGTGGATGAACTGAAGGTACAGTACTTTTCACATCAACAGGCTTTTTGTGTTTGCAGAAAGTTATTGACAGGTGTGTGTGCAAAGGGCCAGCTGTCCCGCGTCATGTCAGATGTCCGCATTCTGCTGGGTGCAGAGAGAGCACGCAGACAAGAGCTGGAGAGGGCGGAGCTTGAGAAGGCGGAGCTTCTTGAACTTTTAAAAAAGGAGGGGCTCAGACCAGCCACGCCCTCTGAAGCAGCACCGCCCCCTGCTGAGGTGCAGAGAAAGCCGAGCCCAAGAAGCCTAGCTTTGGACTGCATCAAAAGGAAGAATAGAGAGGTGACAGTCATCTGAGGACATTGCTTTTTCACGGCAGAACAGCAAGGAAGAGGGAATGTCACATTATGCTAATAGAAAACCACTACCTGGAACGAATCATCTGAATGAAGCCCCATTGTTGTTGTTCCTCTGGGTAAACTGAATGAATGATATGAGATTGGTTATGTTCTTTGATTTAAGCAAATTGTGTAGTTAAACGAGACCTTTTTACAAATGTTGTATGTTTTTAGAATTTTAGAGGCTCGTTTTTCCATTTGAAAGATCAACAGAGATGCATTCTGCTACATCCATTGATATTAAAACCGTTTTGACAAGGTACATTGTGGATTTCTGCATAAAAATACACTCAAACATATACTCACAAGAATTTAATCATATTTAACATTTTAAAAATGAGAGAAACACAAAACATGACAATGATATACACCATATCAGCCGATGGTTGAAACGGATACAGCAGATCCACATCCTGACTGGTCCTTTAGAGCCTGGCGGCTGAGTCTGCTTTGCTCAAGGCAGCGTCTAGCGAGTGAATGAGCGGACATGTCTACCCCGTCCGCCTCCGCCGCTGTTGAACTTCCCTTGACCACGTCCACCGCCACTTATTCCTCCTCCTAAACTAACTCCACCACCACTCAGCCAGGACAGGCCCGTCCCTCTGCCTCTGGTGGCTCTGTCCCGAGGAGCCAATCGGTAAGCACCTGAAGAGTTAAGACAGAGGGGTCAGGAACTGTTTGACAGATGTAGAGTGAGCTAAAGACCTTTTTAAAAATTATATTCATTGGAGAGGCCGTTTTTCTATATATATATAAAATAAACATCATACATACTTTTACATTATATAAATAATTGTTTATACAACTTGAGTTTAGGATAGAGGTTGACAATATGATTTTTTAAATAGCCAATACCTAAAGAGAATATGAATTTAATGATGAATTATGATCAAGAAATGAATTATGATTACTATTGTTAAATACAAAAGTATTAAAGTTATATATATTATTAATTATTAAATTAAAATATAACTGAATTATTATGATAATGATTATCATTATTTTTAAAAAATAATTTAATTGAAACTAGTCAAATTACATCTTGGTCAAATTAGTAAAAAAAATTACCAATTAATCTTCCTGGTTATTGGTCTTGTTCATTTCAAAACCTTACAAGCTAATTATATGGCTATTATATACAGGTGCATCTCAAATTAGAATGTTGTGGAAAAGTTCATTTATTTCAGTAATTCAACTCAAATTGTGAAACTCGTGTATTAAATAAATTCAA